AGAGCAGTGGCACTGTTACAGAGACGGGACAAGAGCTGAAGCCAGGCCGCGGTGAACGACGGAGGGCGTGACTCGGGCAGGTGGAGGTTGAGTGCTGGGAGGAAATAGTGGAATTGAAGAGCAGAGAGAAGAGCTGAAGAGACCTAGGATCTCCCACAGTGTTTGTGGTTGGAATTACAGAGGTGGCTGTGCCTCCAAGACAAAAAGAAGCCAAGGGGCAGTCGGAAACGTGCCGCCATCTGCTGGAGTAGGAGTGGGGAGAAAGCACGCTCGTTTTAGAGACAGGAATGTTTAAAAATGTGCCCTGTGAATGTGGACAGAGGAAAGATCTGAATGCCTATTTTATCATTTCTCAGTCCAGAGAGAATTGGGGTCCCACAGTACAGGGAGTCGTGAGTGTCACCCAACCCCATCCAGGATGTTGGTTTCTAAAGGCTGCACCATTTTCAGCCAGAGCTGGACAAGCTAGGAGGAAGGATGTCAGGTCCAAGTGGTGCTCCCAGGGGAGCAGGGGACAGGTGTGACTCTTGTTCATCCTGGGAGACCAGATGTTGACTTCAGCTATGCCTTTCCTGTCCGTGGACCCTTACCTGACACCTCTTCCCTTTACCTTGAACGATGTCTGTTTTCATACTTGGGAAGTAGTTTTCTCCCACCTTTTTCTTTCCTTCTTTTCTTCTCCCTGCAAGTGAAGCAATTTGGTGAGATTGGCTCTTACCCTGACCAGGCTCCATATGGTGGGTGGCTTATTTGGCAGACGTGTTTGCTTAGTCTTACAGGTAGGCAGGTGTTTCTTTTCACATGGCTGACAAATATTTTCGTTAAAACGGGAATCTTGCCTGATATTTTTCATCATTAAATCACAAACAACTATGTTCTCATGTTGATGTTTCATTACACATTTTCAGATGTTACTTACTGTTTTTATTCTTAGCTTCCCAAAGACTTTTATCCTTAACCTTCTTTAAATATGGAACTTTTTTTTTTTTTTTTTTGGAGAGGTTTTTGCTATCGGGTGCATGCGCTCGCCAGACAGACAGAGACAGACAGAGAGATAGAAAGCGAGAAATCACCCCCCAGGGAGGATGGCCATGCCGCAATCCCTTCTCCTCCATTCTCCTCTCGGGATCTTGGGCACGCACGCACACGCACCTGGTGTGAGTTTAAGCCACCGGGTCCGGGACTCAAACTGCAGTCAACTACGTGGGAGTCCAGCGACATAGCCATTATGCTAACTGCTGGTCCCAAGAACATTTAAGCATCTTTACAGAGAACATTTTCTATTGTTAACAGTTATCAACATTCTGTCACTTTTTAATCTGTCCCCTCCAATACAATTATTTTGTTTTTGATTTTTAAATAGAGAGGGAGCAAGCACTCTTCTCCATTTCTCTGTCCTGTCAGGATCTCGGATATGCATGCACATGGGCCTGATGAGTTTTTCAAGCTGCTGGGGCCAGGATTTGAACCTCACTATCAGTTATACGTGATCCAGCTCCCTTCCACACTAGGCTAGAGAGCCAACCCTTTTCTGTGGTATTTAAAAGCAAATCCTAGATTCAGATTATCCTTTAAGAAAGACAACTTCTGGCTGGCCTGGTAATGAAGGTAGGCACATGGTTGGCCATGTGGTTCAAGTCTTAGACCAGGCAGCTTTAGAAACACACTGGGTGCATGTGCATGTATATGCAAAATCACAGCAGGAGGGAGAAATGGAAGAGCAGGGATTGCCATATGACCCTTCCCCGTGGGGGTCTTGCTTTCTCCTCTCCCTCCCTCTCTGTCTCTCTGTCTCTGGCGAGTGTACATGCTGTCTAGTGTAAAGGAAAAAAGGAAAAAATCTCTATAGACTTGGTCCTTGTTATACCTCGGAAGCAGAGCAGCAGGTTGCATGCCTCTTTTTTTTTTTTTTAATTGCCAGAGGGTACATGTGTTTGCCAGACCGAGAGAGATAGCACACGCATTTCTCATTGGGATGTGGTAATGCCACAATTCGCCTCTGTTTCTCCGTCCTGTCAAGATTTTGGTCATGCACACACACGTGTATCTGGCGTGTTTTCAAAGCTACCAGGGCCGGGATTCAAACCACTGGGTCAGCCATGTAGGATCTGTCTCCCTTAACCACTAGGCCACAAGGGCTGGCTCCAGAGCTGTCTTAATAACTTCTGCCTGTCCTGGCACTGCAGGTACTTATTCCAGATCCCTTATTTTACTGAGTGGATGGAGAATGCTAAAACAACTGTAAGATCCTCCTGCTAGAGTTTATCTCCTAAGCTAGAAAAACATGGTTCTTAAACACCTATGTGTTGTTCCAGAGGTCTGCCCCTGTCTCCTGCCAACATCTTGTATCTTAACTGGAACTTTCTGGTGCAGGGCACATCTTGAGACCTGAGGCCTCAGTGTCAGGTGACCGTGGATAAGCTGTAGAAAACCAGGAACACCTTCATCTGAAGACAAGTCCATGAAACTGACCAAACGCTATTCAGCAAAGATCAGGTTATAAACAGGAATTGAAATCATGTTGGTCTCTGTGTCTTGTTTCTGGTGAATTGCTAGAATCTGGCCATGTCTTCTTAATCTCCATTATTTGTGATACCTTTAAGTGGCTGAAATGAAGAAAAAAGGTGCCGTTTTTATGCCATGTTTTCTTTGGAATTTGGCATTCTTGCTTTTCCCGGCTTGCATGGCTTCAGGGTTGTGTTGAAGTAACCGGGTTATAATTGCTCCGTGACTAGTTCGTGTCAGTAGGACGAGTGCTGTGTGCCTTTATTTCCTGTCTCTTGCATCAGTCTGTTTGTGAGAGTGTACCGAGAGGCGATTAATGGGAAAGATAAACATATGCTTACAGACCGAAAGTTCTTCCTGTTTCCTTAAGTGTTTTTAGTTTAGCGAATTGGTTGTTTGCTGCCCACAGACCACATATGGTGTATGTACCTCTGTTGTTGTGGACACCGTATGCCATTGGGTAGGGTCTGGGCTTCTAAAGCAAAGTCATTAAGTGATAAGGCTTGAAAGATTTCCCCTCATCCGAGAATCTGAAATGACTAGGCAAATTGGACAGCTGTCTGTCACCCAAGCAGAGCCCTTAGGGTTTAAAACTCGCATATAAGGTGAGAATATAAAGGTGAGAATATTCGTCCTCCTCGCCCCAGCTCTGAAACTGTGTGCAAGTTTCAGTTGCTGGAAATCCCTCATCACTGTGCATGCTGCTGCCTGTGGGTTTGACATCTGTTCCAGCAATCTGCTGCTATGGGGACTCGTGTCCCCTCAGCCCCACCTCCAGTCACCCCAAAGGACCAAGAGCTTCCTCCTGGTTTGTGCCCAGGGGAATCTAGGGAA